CTAAACATTATTGGAAAACAGTAGATTTTTGACCATGACTGAGAGCTGTTCAGCTGGCACATTGCCTGTGTGAAACTGCTCCCCTTGCTATTTCTGGATTCATCTGAAGGGAGGGCTTTTATTCCCAAGGGAAATGTGTTCCAGCCATGTGCAGCTCTGCGGTCCATGATGTCCCATCGTTACAAACCAGTTTCAAAATTTTGCCCAGGGGAAGAAGCCACAGTACTGCATAAGACTATTAAAATCAAAGGCTGTGCCAGCAGCATGAAGATATGAAATACCTCGGGTTTTATTTTTTCCTGTTGTGAATATATATTAGAGCAGGAGTCATAATGACAAGATGTGGTGCTTTGGAAGAAGAATGTCAGATTTACTGCTGCTGTTTCAATTTCTGAACCAAGCCCTAATCTTGATAGGCTTCTTGCATGAACTTTATCAAGCTGTTTACACAAGCTTCTTTTATTTAACTATTTGGGCACATTAGCTTGCTGCAGAAAGATGAGATTGTGTCAGGCCCTTTCACGGGTGAGCAAGAGGGGAGGGTGAAAAAAGCCTGGCCTCATATAGCATGTGGCTCAGCTGTGGTACCTGCACTTGCTTGTGTTTAGAGATTCTTTCCTGTAAGAATGTCCCCACCCTTTCTCCCCTAGCCAGCAATAATGGACTGCTGTGGGCTGGGAGTGCATGTTGCAACCAATGAGGGATAAAGCAATAGTCACACTCCCTGTTCATGCCTGGGAGCTCTAAGCAGCACCATGACAACCCATCCACAGATGTATACAAGATATTGCTGAGTACAGTGGTTGCTGTGTCCTAAACAGTCCCTGCACCACCAATGTCTGATTCATTGCTGCTTTTTTCAGCATATCAGGATAGCTGCTGTATGAAAAGTGCTATATAAAATAAACTCGTATTGTGTCAAATTTTAGCCTGTCATCAGCTACATTGAATCAGCACATAGCTGGTGATATTGCTAATGATTCATGATGCAGAATATAGCTTGCTTGAACTCTGTAGCTTCTCTATATTTTCTCTGAAGAGAAGACATAGGCAGCTATGACTCACTAGACCTGATACAAAGTCATTTAATTGCAGATATCCTCTTAACTTTTGTTAATGTATTATTATCTATTTTTATTAAAATAGCAGCTCAAGGTCCCGTAGGACAAGTCTACATTGTGCTAGGTGCTGTACATATAATATGGCACTAGCCCTTCCTCAGAGAACTTACAATTGATGTAGACAAGACAGATAAAACAGAAAGGGGAAGTAACTTGCCTACAGTCACTTGCCCAGCAGGCTTGGGACAGAGCTGGGAATAGGATCTAAGAGTTCTGATTCCCAGTCCTGGCTGGCAGGAGTAACAGGCAAAGGAGGCAATGCCTTTCCTGGATCTTAGTGCTCAAACTGTCCCCTTTTTCTATCCATATTCTGACCATTTCTGAAGGCTCCCATGGCAGGCTGTTGCTGATTGATTGCAGGCTGGCTACTCTTCTGCAGCAGATTTGTCAACTTAAAAGTGAAACGCCTTCCAACGTCCTTGACCAGTGAAAGAGCCAGTAAGTGGTTATGAAACCATTTAACAGGCATGTGCCAACCCTGAAATTACTTGGAAAACAGTTCATAGAATCATAGGGCTGGAGGAGACCCCAGGAGGTCATCAAGTCCAGCCCCCTGCCCAAAGCAGGACCAACCCCAACTAAAGCAATCCAGCCAGGGCTTTGTCAAGTCACAACTTAAAAACCTCAAGGGATAGAGATTCTACCACCTCCCTAAGTAACCTATTCCAGTACTTCACCACCCTCCCAGTGATATAGTAACTTGAGGACCATTGCGCCTTGTTCTGCCATACGTCACTACTGAGAACAGCCTCTCTCCATCCTCTGTGAAACCTCCCTTCAGGAAGCTGAAGGCTGTTATCAAATCCCCCCTCACTCTTCTCTTCTTAGACTAAATTAGCCCAAATTCGTTAGCCTCTCCTCGTAGGTCATGTGCTCCAGCCCTCTAATCATTTTGGTTGCCCTCCACTACATCCTCTCCAGTGCATCCACATCTTTTCTGTAATGGGGCCCCCAGAATTGGATGCGATGCCCCAGATGTGGCTTCTCCAGAGTAGAATAAAGGGGAATAATCACTTCTCTGGATCTGCTGTCAATGCTCCTCCTAATGCACCATAATATGTCATTAGCCTTCTTGTCTACAAGGGCACACTGTTGACTCCTATCCAGCTTCTCATCCACTCTAATTCCCAGGTCCTTTCTGATGAACTGCTACTTAGCCATTTGGTCCCCAGCATGTAACAATGCTTGGGATTCTTCCATCCCAAGTGCAGGATTCTACACTTATCTTGTTGAACCTCATCAAATTTCTTTTTGCCCAATCCTCTAATTTGTTTAGGTCACTCTGGACACTGTCCCTGCTCTTCAACATATCTACCTCTCCCCCAGCTTAGTGTCATCCACAAACTTGCTGTGGGTGCAATCCATCCCCTCATCCAGGTAATTAATAAAAATGTTGAATAATACCGGCCCTAGAACCAATCTGTGGGGCACGCTGCTTGAAACCAACCAGCAATCTGATATCGAGCCATTGATCACTACCCATTGGGTCTGACAATCTAACCAGCTTTCTATCCACCTTACAGTCCGTTTATCCAATCCATACTTCCTTAACTTGCTAGCAAGAATATTGTGGGAGACTGTATCAAAAGCTTTGTTAAAGTCAAGGTATATCACATGCACCAACTTCCCCATGTCCACAAAGTCAGTTACCTCATCATAGGTAACTGCTTGGATCTTCACATGTATAATTTTTTTTAAAATAAGTTCTTCAAAAGACCACCCTTCTCTAAAATACACGTTTCAATTACTGTAATAAAAGATCTTGCTTCAAAAATTATCCAGACCTTTCTATCTATGCCAGCTTCCCTGTCACCACCTATTGAAGAGAGCCCTTAAAGGGACACAATGATTCCATTTTCCTTCTTACTATTCGATGAACAAGTTTTAAGAGAACCCTCCATCAATATCAGTATCTTACTAAGATATAAAATCCTTTGTTATGCTTAAACCTTTAAGTATTAGAGGGGTAGCCCACGTTAGTCTGTAACTGAAAAACAAAATGATTAATAGTCCTAAAGCACTTTAGGGACAAACAAAAACTGTAGATGGTATCACGAGCTTTTGAGGACACAACCTACTTCTTCAGATGAATGGCGTTAAGGGGTGCAGGGTACAAATGAATAGCGGAGAAAGAGAGGGGATGGGGGGGGAGGGGAAGAGAAGGAAAAAATTAGGGAAAATATTGTCAATTAGTGTCCATGCTACATGAGGCTATTAGTGTGGGCTCTAAGTATCTAGTGCTTAGCATTTTATGTAATTATGGTGTGGAATGTAGTGGCTCATCCAGGCCAGGTTTTGTTCAGACCTCGATTCCAGGTGTCAAACTTGTAAATTAATCCAAGTTCTGCAGCTTCTCTCTCAAGTTGGTTTTTTAAATTGCTTTGTAAAAATATAGTCACTTTTAGATCCATTAATGAGTGCCCGGGTAAGCTAAAATGTTCCCCAACACATTTCTCTGTGTTACAATTTCAAATATCTGAGTTGTTATAATATTATTATTTATTATACTGTACGCCAGCCCTTGCCCCCAGAGCCACCACGAACTGGTTTCAGTTACGGCAGCCACCTGCCAGATGGAGACTTCCAGAGCTGAAGCCAGCTGTTTGCAGTGGCTCAGAGGGCCCGGGGCTTTTGGTGGCCTAGTAACATTTTATTTACATATTTGCATAATGAATTTGCAAATAAAATGTTGCCAGTCCACCAAAAGTTTGAATGGGTTTGCTGGTCCACGGTATAAAAAATGTTGGGAACCACTGCCCTGGGCAAAGCAAGGCTTGCTTCCCTCGTCAGTGGAAGCTGTTTGTTTAAATGCTGGCTTTAGCTTTGGGTTTGAGGATGCCTATACCTGCTCCTGTTCTGTAACAGCCCTGAGCTTGCTGCTCTGTTGTCTGTTGAAGCTGTTCCACTTGAGTTAAATCTGCTTTGGGCCAGGCTCGCAACTACCTTCACTCTCTAGGCCAGTTGCATAAACAAGACAGCAAGAGACTGGTGCCATTTTATATGGGCATTTTTGACTGTTTGATTTTTATCAGTATTAGGGTTGTATTATTGAAAACTGGCCTTGAGAGCTTTTAAGTCCTCATTGGTTACTGCTAGCTGAGATGTTTTGGTCATATAGCCTGCCTCAGGGATAAAATCCCTGTACACTGTGCCCTGAAGATTAGACTCATGGTCATGAGGAGATGTCATGACATATTGAGTCACGGTTTTCTTCTCGTACCCCATTTATTTGTATTCCTCTATTTTCTCTTGTTATTTGTTGTTATTGTCCTGAGTTTGTACAGTACCTGGCACAATGGGCTGAATGGTCTATGACTGGGGCTCTTGGCTACTATGGGGATACAAATAATAAAATAAGGCTGTAAGGAAATATGAAAGTGAACAATGCTGTCCACTCTTGCTTCATGCAATATTGGCTGTTTTTCTTAAAGGAGACATGTGCTTACATGATCATTTGAGTTTTCATTAAAATACAAGTTTCTCGCTTTCATGGCTATGGAGAAAACTTTAAAAATTGAACCTTAAATGCCCAAGAAATGGAATACAAATAAAAAAAACCCTAAGAATTGTTATTTTTCAATCTCATGATTTTTTAAATCAGTCTTGTGATTTTGGAAATCTGATTCATAACTTTTGAACACTTATGATTAGCAATATTGAAGCAATCTTAAAGTATATTACATTATTAAATGCCATAAGATAAAAAGAGAACATGTAAACTCAAAAGCTGCACAAGTAAAAGTAATACAAGTTTCTGAACTCCACAGAGTTCAATTACACAGCAGAGAAAAGTAATTGTACTGTATTGCTCCATTGCTGTATCTGGTAGAGTTAGTGCATTCTGGTATTTATTCTTGCTTTTGTTTTCTCTTTCTGTAGTGTTATTATGACAGGTGCATATAACAACTTCTTTCGAATGTTTGACCGAAACACCAAGCGTGATGTTACGTTGGAGGCCTCCCGGGAGAGCAGTAAGCCACGAGCCATTCTAAAACCCCGCCGAGTCTGTGTCGGAGGTAAAAGAAGGAAAGATGACATCAGTGTCGACAGTTTGGACTTTACTAAGAAGATCTTGCACACAGCATGGCACCCAACTGAGAACATAATTGCTATAGCAGCGACAAACAATCTGTACATATTTCAGGATAAAGTGAACTCAGAAATGCACTAGGTCTATCACTATCTTTCTGTATTTTTGAACCAGCCTTTTGAGAGTTGTAGAAGGACGTGAGCTTCACAAAAGCGTGGCCATTGTGGTGGAATTTGTTGATTCCCTCCCTCCACCCTTCAGTCTGTATCGGTGGTGGCAACCAACTGTTTTAACTTATTGCAACTGTATAATTGTCTAAGTAAAAAGGCTCTACTTCAGTACTGTGGTCTCTGTCAGTTTTTTAAACAATCAGGGCTATTCATTTCAGGACTGTTCCTGTGAGGTGCCAAGTACCTTAAATGCCAACTGGCTCTTGAGGGTACAACACTCCACAGGACCAACATCCTGCTGTGCTGCATTCTTCCACGGTCTGCAGTGTTTACCACATTATCAGAGTTTTTTACATTGGTCCCTTGATTTTTTTTTTCAGGAATGCTTTCTGGGCTTTTAAAGTCAAGTAGACTTATTTATGAGTGTAAGAATAGCTGTCCCCCACATACATTGCTGCGCACAGGAGGAGGCCCCTAGGCAGTTAGTAAGATGGAAGCAAAATCAATTATTCTGCTTATTAACAAGTGACAAGTTGCCCCTGTTTCCCTTATCACATTCCCCATTCCCAGCACTGAGCCCTCATTATGGAGTTCCACACACACTTTTACAATGTTTTACTTCTGCTACAAATCCTGACTTTGTATTTCAACTTTCTGAGTCAAAAACTGAAGTGCGCTATTGATAGTCAGCTACCTTCGTTTCAAAAAGCCATTTGTTCTGTAGGTACATTTCTAGTCACATTGGAGAATGTGACAATATTAATTATAGTGCATACCATTTAAAAACTCAGGATTTGCCACACCATGATGACTATTGAACACATATGCAGATACACGGGTTAATGCACATACACGTGTGCTATTATAACTTTGGGATGGGATTTTCAGAAGCCTTCAGAAGTTGGCTGGATGCTGTTTCCTCTGAAATCAAATATTTAGTTAAATCAGTGCTAAGCCCTTTTGAAAATCCCACGTGACATTTACTGTATCATACTTACTACTATAAATTTGGTATCTGCTGAATCCCCAGGAAATACAGGTTTAACTTCTATGAATAGTAACTCAAGAGTTTAGCACTCCTGAGTGAATGTTAAGTTTTTAAATAGCCCCATTCTAAAATGACAAGATGGTTCCTGGGTGAAATGGAAAGCCAACATTCTACTTAAATTGGTTTATGTAGTTTGTTCTTCAATTGAACAACAATGGAAATAGAAAATGTTTCCTTTTAGACGTATATAAAAATGGTGCACCATTTTGGAAATGTTTTTTAATCTTGGAAATCTTTCTCCATGACTAATAAAATCTGCAGAAAAATTGTTATCCCAAATGATCTCTTCTTGACTCACAAGTGAAGGAGTGTAACTGCTCAGATGCCTTGACTGACTGGCTCTTGTTAAAAATCCCTTGCATAGGAAAAGTTCTTTAACAACCTTTCTTTACTGATTTTTTTGGTAAATGGAGAATGAACTAATAAATGAACCTGCATGCTTTTATATTATGATTTTTGGGGAGAAAATCTGCTTCTGAGGTTTACAAAAAAGGCTACAACTTTTTATATGAAGTCTTGACATGATACGTGAACTATGTATGTTTAAAATTTTCTAGATTGATACTGTATATGCTATGTGTAGACGCACAAACGCATGTGCATCAGTTTCCAGCCATAATATACACAGACAGTATAAAATATGTAGGTTAATTTTAAAGGGAATGAGGAATGTTTGTTTATAAAACACTGTATACTCTAGACAGTATGGACAGTATTATATGTACATATTTATTCTAATTAAAGTTAACTATCTTTTTTTCTTGTAAAAAGGTTTAAGAATGTGGTAAATTGTATAGAAATCTCTAATGCCAAACGACTGCTTCAAGGGTATCATACACTTTCTTTGACTTTTGGCCTCCTCCATTAACCTTTGTAGCTCAAAAATGCTAACAGGTCATACTGGCATTTACTGTAAAACATATTTAGCTTCTAACATCCTCAAGTAAGAGTTGGTACATAACTTATTATAAAGCAGATCTTAACACAATAGTAATGCTATTTTTATTTCAAGTACCTTATTCTGTTTCAAGTTTGGGTACCCAAAATATCTTGTTAAACTAATTAATGAAATACATTTTTGGAGCTTTACAAAATCACTGATTTCCAGACTAAAAGGTTGTGATGTGATTATAGAGGAAAATACGAAAATCCTTTTAAAGACGAGTATCACATTCATGGCTCTGATACCACCACTAGGATTCAGTTTCCTGGTCTTCTTGAATGTAAGAAAGTTGACATTGTCATTGTGAAATTTTTAAAACTTTTTTTCCTTTTTGGTTTGAGCTTTCAGTGGTGTAGAGTACGTGATGGTAAAGTTGGTAAATCAGATTGTTTGGAAAGCTGTTGTTCATGGTTGCATTCTTTGTGTTGCACAAATTAGCTAACTGTTGTTGAATAAAGTTATAAATATGTTAATACCAGCTTTTTCAATAAAATGACTGCAAAAATTGCATAAACAAATTACTCTTTGCTGATGCTGTATGTTTAAGCTCGGTGTTAGGCATGTAAGTGCTTTTGAAAATCCTAGGGGACATTTGTCCACATCTTTGAAGAAGTGTTTAAATACTTTTAAAAATCAGGCCCTAAGGAAGCTTAAATTCTAAATGAGACTAAGGATATGTTGACACAGCAACAATCCCCTCTCCAAAAACAAACAAACAAAAATGCAGCAGTGAGTCTCAGCCCAAGTCTACATACATCAGGCTCATGCTATAGTACTAAATATAACAGGGTAGCTATTCCAGATATAGCTGGAGGGCAGTCTATGAAATCTGGGGTTGGGGGGAGGGGATTAGGGAGGCAGGACTTTTTTCTTTTGTTTTTGTAGTGTAGATGTACCCTTACGCACTTCACTGCTTAATTCACTTTTGAAAATGGTACAGTATTTAGACTCCTCAAGTCCATGGGTGGTTTTAAAATCATCCCAAGTCAAAAATGAACAAATAAAAAAAATAGGTAAATGTTAGAAAAGAAGAAAATGTTTTAAATCTATACAGTATTGGAGACAAGTATGGCAGCTTGTTACGGACTAAGTGCCAACTGCAGTTGATAGGAAATTTGCCATGATAAAGAGAGCAGGATATGGAAGGGAATTAGAGTTTATAAAAAGACGTTAAAATATTAATAGAATATCATCATGCCTAAATGTTGCATTCCTCTAAGAAGGAGCCCTAGTACTGTCAGAAGTGGAAACATGTGCCTGTCTGTCAGCACATTTTTAATTATTTTAACACCTGACAGAAGAACTGTATGGGTTTATAAAACGAGAAGGGCAAGCCCTGTCCATCAGAAAAGTGGCACAAACATTTACTTTTTTTCCATTAAAAAATATATTAACGGAACAGCAGCTAATGTCCTATATATGGAAGCAGAAATTCTATTAAGCAGTACCAGGCAAGAAAAGATTCATTTTTTGAACAGCGGCACTGAGCCATTCCAGGGAAGCCTTACTACTCAACTAGGAAACAAGTCATGGGTCAAGAGGAAAACAACACAGCAGGACAAGTCCTTTGCAGATACAGTATTACAAGTGGTGGTGACACAAATTAAACCCATTGTGCCAAATCCTAAAGGCTATGTCTAGACTGCAAGCCTCTTTTGAAAGATACTTTCGAAAGCGTCTAGACTGCACGTTGAACTTTCGAAAAAGCAGCTTGCTTTTTCGAAAGAAAGCATCCAGTGAGTCTGGATGCTCTCTTTCGAAGAAGCCCTATTTACATTGAAGAACGCCTTCTTTCGAAAGAGGAACTTTCGAAAGAAGGCGTTCTTCCTCGTGAAATGAGGTTTACCGCCATCAAAAGAAAAGCCGCGTTCTTTCGATTTAATTTCGAAAGAACGCGGCTTGAGTCTGGACGCAGGTGAGGTTTTTTTCGAAAAAAGGCTACTTTTTTCGAAAAAACCCCTGAGTCTGGACACAGCCAAAGTGAGGCAAAATGTCCATTGAAGAAAATGGGTTCTCCTATATAAAACTGATTCGACCCACAGCGTGACTACAATGCTCAGTACTGTTGGGAGAGCAAAATAATTTAGCATGAAGCTCCTTCAGATACAGGGCTAGATTGAACCTCTCTTTAGGTTGATGTATAGGGCCCTAGTAAATTCATGGCCATGCAAAACATGTCACGGACCATGAAATCTGGTGTCCTCCTGAGAAATCTGGCCTTTTGTGTGCTTTGATCATATACTGTAAGAATTTCATGGGGGAGACCAGCATTTCTCAAATTGAGGGTCCTGATCCCAAAGGGATTTTCAGGGGATCACAAGGTTATTTAGAAAGGTCATGGTATGGTCACCCTGCCTTTCATACTGCCTTCAGAGCTGGCAACTGGGAAGCAGTGGTTATAATTTTGACCAGGTGCCCTGCTCTGAAGGCAGCACTCCCCCAACAGCAGGGCAGAAGGGAGGTTGGTAATATCATACCCATATCACCCTTACTCTGTGCTGCTACTGGTGGCAGCTCTGACTGTTCAGAGCTCAATTCCTGCTCATTAGCCGCCCCGCTCCAGCTGCTTGGCACTTAAGGCAGTGCTGCTGCCAGCAGCTGTGCAGAAGTAAGGGTAGGGACACAATAACCTTTCCACCCTCACACAAAACCTATTTGAGTCAGGACCCCAAAAATGACAACACCGTGAAATTCCAGATTTAAGTAGCCAAAATCATGGCATTTATCATTTTTTAAATCCTGTGACCGTGACATTGGCCAAAATGAATGGTGAAGTTGATAGGGCCCTATTGATGTGCAAAGGGTGGGAGGAAACAGCAGTAAGGTCCTAAGCACTTCTCCCCTAGTTTACCTATTGTTTCTTTTCTTCACCTTGGACACTTCCAATCCTTGCACTATCTAGTCTCACTGTAAGTAGCTAATGGTGGAATAAAACTCAGTTGCAAATAAACACATCAAGCAATGTGCCCACTTTTCTCCCTTTTCAGTTTCTTTCTTCATCCCTAGGGCCCAGCAGGATAAACATAAACCAGCTGGCAAACACCATTGCTCTGGAAAGTTCAGCAAACATATTTCTTAACAGCGCATGACGACTTGTTTTAACACATTGGTGAAACAGGAGCTGTTTCCCTTGGTTCAGTGCCACCTATTATTTCAGTGCAGTCACTTTGCTCTGATTTTGAGTTTGAGGCTAGTTCTTCTATCTAGGGAGGATTAAGATGACAGTTCTCACCTTCCAATACAATTGCTAAGATGAAATTCACCCCTCCACTGTTCAGAGTGAGGGGTAGCACAAGACCTATGCCCAGTTAAGTACTATTTTCAGCCTATTATTGATTCTCCTGTCCTTCCTGTTCCATAATTACATGTCCTACCCATTTGCATTCTTAAAACTAACCTTCCTTCCATTTAACTTCTCACTGACATCAAAAGCTAAGTATGGGATACTTCTAGCCCACTCAATTAGCACTGGCACTACAATTGACAGGGTTTTTTTTCTCCCTTCTTTTTCCTGTTATAAATTCTGGTCTTTTTTTCCCCCACTCAAACTCATTGGAAGAAGTGAGTTTTGTCCATGAAAGCTCATGATACTATGTATATTTGTGTTAGTCTTTAAGGTGCAGGGGCAGATGATGATTTTTCAGGGCCCAGGGCAGCACAATTTCGCAGGGCCCTCCCCTTTGACACAGCCCATGCGTTGGGCTTTTTGAAGCATGGGGCACAGGGTGGCCGCCCCGCTCGCCCTGCTCTATATCTGCCCCTGATAAGGTGCCACGGATTACTAATTTTTAAAGTAACAAACTAACATGGCTAGCACGCTGAGACTCCCTAATTGTGTTATGTATAAAGTTTGAGTCTGATTCTATGCATGCTTAGGAAGGCACTCAGAAGGCAACAGGACTACTACTGCAAGGAAAAGTTTGCAGGCTTGGACTCCCGAGGACATGGTATGAGACATGTTGTCTTTGGCCTGCGAAGCTCATTTAATGTACACACAAGTAAGTGATAAAAATATTTTCCTAAAGGGTGTAATGCAGTAAAAAAAGCATATTCCTTTGGATCTCGTCTCCAGTCCAGCTTCTGAACCTGGATGAACATTCTTTACACACTTATCCACCTTGAAGACATGCTCCTTGTGACCCAAAGTGTGCACCCTTTCAAGCTAGCTATACCTGACCTAGGCAGACTAATTTGGTTTCCTTGATCTATGTGTTACCATGGTTACACATTAAGCAGTCATAGATAATCACTTGTCTTATCACTTGAGAAGTGCAGCAAATCAGTAGAAAGTAGTAGGCATGTAACTGGTCATGTTTCCACTAAATCATTACCACAGTGAACATATATTTTATATTCATTTAACTATTGCTGATGAGTGTCTCTTTTTTAATGTAGGGTTTTAGCACTTTGGTGAAAACCCTTCAATTTTGTTAAAAACAACAAATAGAGGCACAAGCACAGGTTTCATACCATGTAGAATGTGAATTCCTAACAAAGCAATAAATAACAGCCTGATCTAAAGACTTTATCAGAACCAAATGTTTGTTCAATCCAAAGAAAGATTAGCTCCAAATCCAGGGTCAAATTCCTTAGTTAGTGTAAACTGACACAATGCCAAAGAGCTATTCCAGATGGGGATCTGCCCCATTATATCTCTTAGAAAAGCCTCTCATCACCTTTTATAGATCAATGGATTCATCAACTAAAGAAGGGCCTGTTCTCTCTCACACACCCACCCACCCCCTGGAATCAGGCCAAATTAAGAAGAAAAAAACAGTTGGTGTGAGTGGTATCTCATTTGGGTGATGTGCAAAATAAACTCCTCTTATGCACATCACCCAAATGAGATACCACTCATACAGATTGTGTAGATACTTTAGATATGATCATGTGTCTTGATGAGCCTCACTGAACTCCCTGAATTTGGATTAGCCTTGGTGGGACTTGAATAAACCCATCTGTTCTGCTAGACCACTTGGGCTTAGTTTAGCTTCTTTTTGACTTAGAAAAATCAAATAAATGGCAGCTTCTTTCAAATTGCATTCACTTGTGGTACCAGAAAGTACAGCTCTATAATCCTTCCCCTTCTCTCTTACATGAGACACTGCTGCCATGTACATTTATCATCTTTTCACAATGTTATTCTTTACTATAGTTTCAACTAATTTGCCCAGTACTGATTTTAGACTTACTTGTCTGTAATTGCCAGGATCACCTCTAGAGCCCTTTTAAAATATTGATGTCACATTAGCTATCTTGAGTGCTCCTTTAGCATCTTGATTGTCCGGTGGACCCACTGGTTGTTTAGTAGGCTACCTGCTTCTGATGCATTTAAAAAACATTTTGCTACTATGTCTTGAGTTTTTGGCTAGCCATTCTTCAAACTCCTTTTTGGCTTTTCTTATTATATTTTTGCACTTAATTCTGACAGAGTTTATGCTCCTTTATTTTTCTCACTAGGCTTTACACTTCCACTTTTTAAATGATGTTTTTTTCTCTCTCACT